TCATTCATCAGTTAACGTGTGACGTTGGTTGAATTGCCTTGGTCAATAGAATAGAAAAAAAAAATATTTTGGTTAGCTTATCAACGCATCTAAGGACATGAAAATATTTTAATGCAGAATCCCTACAATTAAATACATCTCTCACAGTATCTCAAACAAATTAAAGTGACAGGATGACAGCAACTTATACACACACTGAGGAGATCAATTGTCCACTCTGAAATGTGTTTCTGCAAAGTATCTCCTTTCACCTGCTGCAGTTGTTCCATCCATGTAGAGGCTGTCAGTGTTCTAAAGCGTTTCTTCTTTCATCATAAAATTCTCCTTGTAAAAAAAAAAAATCAGATGCAATTGTTGGGCTAAACCCTGAGAAGTGCCACCTTGCTTGTCATATTTCTGGAGTTTGAACAGTTGTCCATCTAACAGCTGCATTTCTATAAGCTTTGGGCAGGTGGCTCTGGAAAATTCTTGCCACTCACAGCAGACTGGATTGTATGTCCACACATGGGCTTTTAGTCCACCAAAGTTTATTTGTTTCTTTTGCTACCATTGTCTGTATGTGTGTATGGTGTGCTTTGTCTGTGCAGTCAGAAAGGGAATATTACAAATACACTGGGTCTTTGTTCACAGGCAGCTTGGTTTGGAAAGTAAATTTTGACATAGGCATAAAAAATATTCACAACAAAAATAGTCTTTTTCTTTTCCTCATAAGAAAACAACTGGATTTATATTAATATATAATTATATCTATTTATATTTTTGGTGGCATCAATTATTTTGTTGAACACATCTTAAATAAAAATATGAGTCTCTGAGCAAGGAGGAAATAAGTATGTCTCCTCTCACTTGGCCTGTAGAGTGGAGTCCTGTTCCCATCCTCTTGTTGCAGTCTCAGTCTGGGGCACATGTGTTTCTGGACCTTGCTGTAAAAGGTTTGGTTCAGAGTCTTTAAGAAGATCAGCTCAGGAGAGGTCCTCCACAGAAGGTGTAGCGTCGAGCTGCAAACCAAGATTACAAGCTGTTACCACCAAACCAAAGCAACTCCATGTCAGCTCAGAAAGCCACCATATTCTACAAGGTGGAGAGGATCTGCAGAGGGGCAACAAGTTTTAAAACCAGTACAGATCCTTGCTTTTATCCTGAGGCTGTAAACCTGGGAATGGAGGAGGCAGAGAATGAGAATAAGGTAGAAAGAGGTGTATGAGAAGATGAGCGAGATAAAGGTACAAGCTGTTTAAGGATAGGGTGAAACAAAAGCAAGCACCAGCACTGTTTTAAGAAACAGCTATGTTGTGGTATCTAGAAGATGTTTGAATTGTTAGAACGTTTTTTGATACAAAGCAGCCCAGATAAAACAGCTTAAGGCAAAGATTCATGTACTATAAAAATATAGTCCTTTAAATTAATTATTACTTGCATACAGGGCAAGTTACTATATTTTGTGTTGGATTATAGCATTTGAGAATGCAGTTTAATGACTCAATGGGTTTTACTATGATATGATATGATATGATAGAAGCATAAGTCCATTGGGACCTATCCTCTTTTTGTTTTGTCTTATCTTCATGTGTCATGTCAAAATGAATAAATAAAGAGTATTTAGGAGAAAAATATAATTTTGTATTTATAAACAATAAAACCTCGAATTCAACAATTCACTGGGTTCCAAGTTGAAGAATATAATGGTGATGTAATTTTTAATTCTAAATCTCTAGACTAAGGTTTTTTATGGACTAAATGACACTTAGGATTGTGACTTCTACATTTTATATGAAGCAAAACATGGACAAAATCAAACTGCCTTCTGGAAAAGCCAAAGTATGTGTCCATTTTTGCCAGTTACACTAAACTTGAATAATCCTGTTGTTAGGAAATTACATTTTGTAATTAATATCCTTCCCTCTAAGGGCAGCAACTGTGAAGCTCTACATCTTACAAATTATTTTATGAAAGACAGCAGCATAAAATTGCCTATGTGCTGTGAACAGGGCCCATGAAGAATAGCTCCTACCTGACAAAGCACCCTTATCAAAAAACCTTGAACATGAACAGGTTGAATCACTAAAGATCTTTAATCTCCATCCTGTGAATATGTGTGAGGCATCTGCATAGAAGCAAGATTTGATTCTCCAGGAAAAAAAAACTACTTTAGTAAATCATTCCTAAAGCAGTTTCTTGCATCCTTGATATTAGGCTGGCATAGCTATTTAACCTATTGAATGTATGAGTATATTTCTTGTTAAAAAAAACAACTCAGCAGTGCATATAACTACCATTTGACACTGTTATATTCTTTTTATTCTTTTTCTTTACTATACTTGCACCATCCCCTATATGACTATTTTATGCACCATGAAATTGATGTGTCTGATGCAAACAGTGAGCCTCCAAAAAAATAAAGAATTTAAGATAAAGCTCTTCCAATAGAAGGCAAAAAAAAAAAAAAATACGTGAAGAGTAAGCTGAGTGAAACATTTTTTTAGCTGCTCACAATTGCTATTATTACATCATCATTTGATATAGGTGTCTTATGCACAATTGCTTCCCTGTGATTTATGGAAGTTCATATTCTGTGAGTGCAGTTTCCATAATCTGAAAAAATAGTGCACATCATTGGTGATCATTTGAATGAGCTTTTAATATTTACATTATCCAGGCCAAAGCGTCCAGTGTATGACCACCATTATTCTAACTTTATACACATTTTTTAAATTACCTTTTTCTCACTCTACTGTTTCTTTCTTTTTTAACCTTTCCTTTCTAAATTATAGGATTGGGTTATTAGAACTGAAAACGTTTCAAGAATTTGAGACATGTCGCAATTCTTTACCAAATAAATTATTATTTATAAAGATTAATATTTTCTAAACTCAGTAATGGTTAGCTCATTCCTCTTGTGCTCAAGACTTTGCATATCCTATACATTACTGTGATCTAAAACAGAAGAGCTTAGTTTACCACTCCGTACCCAGTCAGAACTTATCAACTAATCGAATTCTAACTCACAAAACAAGTGAGAATATCTTTAAAAAGACAACAAAGACTTGAGAGGAGAGGAATGCACTGCATTACCAAAATGAAGGTGAAGCACAAGCACTTAAAAACAATCCAGTAGAAAGAAAACTGAGAAGTCAGCTAGCACTCAGATACATCTACTGAATGTAGTTAAGTGTCATCACATTGTGAGTCTTTTAGTATCATTACTTGTTTGGAATGCTTTTAAATACAAAGAAACACAACATTTTCTTAAACAGTAGAAAGAATTGAGCTTATTCTCGCTAATTTTAGGTGAACACCATTAAGGGGATACTTAGTAGCCAAAATTGCAGCCTAATGAATATATTTAAAATACTTTAAGGGAATGCATACAAACCTTTAGTTTGACTGCTTAGTTTAATAGGACATAAGAGCTGTTGACTAACATGTTGCTAAGCTTTCTGATCTACTAACACTTAGCAAATCCTCTGCCTATCCTACAGCAGGACTTTATGGATAGTGTTTAGCGTATTAGTGGACATCACACCTGCTCTTGGATACAGGTTGTTTAGGGGATGATTTACTAGAACAGGGGTCTCCAAACAATGGCTCTCCAGGTGGGGAGGAACTGCAAGTCCCATGAGGCCTTGCAAGACTCTGACAGCCACAAGCAAGACTCCCCTTCAACAGCTGGAGGGCCATAGTTTGGAGACCCCTGTACTAGAGGAAATAGGCTGGATTGTAAGTGAATTTGCATTTTGCAAGGAAATGTGTCCCAGAGCATAGTAAATAAGGTGAAGCTTTGCTGACTTCTATCATCCAATCAAGTGCAAGTAAAAATGCTGTTTTTTTGTTTTACTTTTTCCTTTGCAATAAGGCATCTTTCCATGCAAAGTGGAAAGCCTTTTTGCCTTTAGTAATTAATTTGCCCATGTAACTCTATTACATATATAGTAGAGAATATTTAAAAGAATCATAGTATTTGGTTCAAGTGTTTAGCAAGGACTCTTAACAGGTGGTACTGCATAATAAGACCACAAACTGATGGCTAGTGTGCATTATATAACTGTCATTTAGTGGATAACTTGCCTATGAAACTGGTGGCCTATGTAGAGCATTTCTATAAAGCAAAAGTATATATGAAAGATTTGACTAAGGACTGTTCCCTCAGAGCTACCAAAGTAATGACTGGTGTGTAGGTAACCTTTTATACATGTGGCTAGTATGTAGCAGAAATAACAGTTCCATAATCTGTTGCAGATTATACTACTGAGTATAGTATGATTATAGGGGAAGGTTTAACACATTTAAACCAGGTTTTGAAGGTTTATCATCTGTTATGAAAGAAGTTAAAAACTTTCCAAACTTGATGGTTTGGATGCAAATTTAAATGCACCCTAGTCCTTTCTTTACCCCTTCTGGAAAATGGGGTAACTGTTTATGAGTATTGGATAAAAGCCCCTTCCTTTATAAATCTTCTTACAATTTTCAAATCACCTAAACACTAGTAAATGGTGGCTGTTCTGCTGCCTACTGTCAAGCTGAGCATAGAAAAGAGACATTAGAGTTGATTTACTAGAAATGGAGAGTGAAAAATCTGATGCAGCTCTGCACAGAAACCAATCAGCTTCCAGCTTTTTTTTTTCAAAGCTTAATTGAACAAGCTAAAAGTTAGAAGCTGATTGGCTACCATGCATAGATGCACTAGATTTTTCACTCTCCAGTTTTAGTAAATCAGCCCCAATTGGAAGTTGAAAAAGGGCCTAGACTCTCACTGTCCAATGATGTCATGACCACATGTGCTGCTTCTACCATTTGTACATAGAAACTTGCAATTACATATACCATGTATGGCAGAAAGGATGGCATAGTGAAATATATTTATTGCTATATTGAATATATATTTTTTGTTAACAAAATGCACCTGAAAAATAGTTCATTTGTGTCTGTTCAGTGCCTAAATTTGTCGTGCAAGAAATACTGCTCTTTACATGTACAATCCTAAAACAAGTTTCCAGGTCAATTTAAATTTTCAGACAGTGCTTACCTGCATCCACATTTAAGCTAAGGCTTTGTCCCATGTCTCCTGCTGGTCCTGGATAGGGCCCAGGAGTTGTCCATGCAGAGGTTGCTGCTTCTGCCTTGCTTAAATCACACTGTGTTGCAGGAGGTGCTGAAACTGCAGGCGTGATCCTGTGGGGTCGGACTGATGCTGGAACAAGTAAAGAGCTGTAGCGAGGATCGAAGTGCGTACTATAAACTTCATGCATGGCAGGCCGGGGATAACTTGAACCCTGACTGTTTATTGCTCCCCCAATTGAGTATGGGTGATGGTGGTGGTGATGGTGGTGGGCATGGTGCCAGGGCTCAGGTGGACCCTGGTGTAGGTGACTATGAAGAGAAGCAGGGGAATAAGGATCTGCTCCAAAAGGAATTTCACTGTGAGGACCAGTAAGTGGGCTGCCTAAGCTGCTGCCCAGCGATGAGGCAGCAGCAACTGCATTTGGCTGGTAACTGCTGTTCCAGAAGGATGGAGGAAAACTTCTTTGACTCATGGGAAAAGTTGTTTCTGTTAAAAGACAAAAATAACCATAAAATGTAATTAAAATCAAATATATCCCTCCATAATTAATAATAATTCTCATAATACTCTGCTAAATGAAGGAACACCAACACATACATTGAGAAAAGTTCTAAAATTTGCAAAAATAATATCTATAGCCCTATGGTATCTAAATAATGTTTTCAATGCATTTATGTTTTGGAATTGATTAATAGAACTGTAGAAATGTAATTACTACCCAAAGCAGCCAGATTCTAGATGATAAATCCTTTAAGTGCAGGTTGGATATGAAGATCTGATTGATTGCTCTGGACAACAACTCCAGCTTTCTCCAGTTTTTATAGATTTATTTTAATACAGAACACTGTTTTAATATTATCTATTGATATCATCAATTAATATTTTGACCTTTCAGCACATTACTAATGCATCATCATTACTATGAAATTTGTAAAGCCTGGACCTATGCTTTTTTTAGCCCATCCATCCTGGCATCTTGGCACAGACAACCTGTTAGCTCTAATGACTGCCCCATAGTCTCAAATTTACATGCATAGCTATTAGACAACTGCTTTACAATACGCAAACTTCTCACCAACATTTCAGAATCTAATGTGAACTTAATTTTGAGCAAATGCAAAAATAATGCTATATGTAAAAAACTAAAGTTACTAAATCTAACCCTAAGCATACCTATGCTTCCTACAAACACAACTTCAAATTAATATGTGCTTAAAACTATACATCCCCTTCCTTAGTCTCTGGTTAATTAGTTGAAGGATAACAGTATTATATGGATAAATATAAATATAAAGTAAATGACCGCCAAAATGTTTATACAGAATAACTGTAATGTTCGAGTACAATTAAAGGCACCCTGCATGTACCTGGGCCAATAATCTGTTTTATATGGAAGATACTGCTTTTGGGGCAGACACATATTCTCATAGATAGTGAATTCAGAAATGGGTAAAAATACTGTATAAAACCCATTTCGGCACATGTATAATCTTTTCTAATTTACCTGAGGCATTATGGGAATTCAAAAAGGCATTAGATGCACATATATATCGATGATCTGTCCACAACAATGGCCACTCTTTTTCAGATTGGGCTGTTGATGTGGCAGGTTCATTTTCTGAATGGACTAGCAGCAGTCAGATCTTCAGACCACAGTCTTACACATGTAAATTCATTGTGAGTCTCATCAGTGTGCCAGCATTTATTGGTCACGCTTCCTAGCTCCCTTTGCCTTGCTAGGTCTAAACAAGCCATCTAAGGTTTCAACTGCACTTCCACTGCAGGTGAAGCTGGTATTTGAGTGCCCCTGCGAAACATGTTACAAGGAAAATACATTGGACAAGGGAAAACAACCATAATGTGTTCAGGAAACCATTTTTAAAACACACTGTGAATATGTTGGAAATGTAGTAAGTAAAGAAAACAGAAATAAATGCATCCATACTTTTAAAACCAAATATTGTTATCAATGTTTCTTTCATTAAAACATTTGCATGCAACATATTTCTAAAACCAGTTAGGTTTACATTTAAAATAACTCTAAATGCAGTTTGTAATTAGTGAGATGTACTATCATCTATGTACTATCGTTGAGCTCTTTTATTTTGAAAAAGAAACCCACATGACACAAACTATGCTCAATTCATTAAAACCCTTTGCCAAATGCAGTAAAATTCGGAAACTATTAGTTTACAATCTGCATTAAGTTTGGATGTGTTCCCTATGTTTCCTACAGTTGTTTAGATTTCCTTCCACATTTGAAAAACAGGGGCGGACTGACCATTTGGAAACTCGGGCACTGCACGAGGGCCCTGGGTCAATAGGGGGCCCCATGAGATGCCCCTGGTACCTTTTTTCATAGGCTTGTTTGCTTTTGGGCAAGGACACAGGAGCCCCATGATCCCCTATTGTCCGGGGGCCCCATGAGTTGTCAGTCCGCCCCGCTGGTAAATATATTAGCTTCCACTAAGTAACTGGCCCTACTGCGAGTCTCTGTGCATGACAGCGGAAAGTAGGGTGGAAGTGTCTCTGACAAGGACTGATGTGAACGAATTGTGCATTAAAATGCTGCAAAGTATCTGTTCTATGAAAGTAAGGGGCATAAGGAATAGTTGTTTTTGTTACTCTAAGGGGGAGATTTACTGAAACTGGTGCACTTAGAATCTGGTGCAGCTATGCATGGTAGCCAATCGGCTTCTAACATTAGCTTGTTCAGTTAAGATCTGGAACCTGATTGGTTTCTGTGCAGTTGGGTTTTAGTAAATAACCCCCATAGTGTATCAAGGGCCACATGTGAGCAAACATTAGTGTTGTAGAATAGAGCCTTGAGATACTGCAGAAATTGCTATTACTGTCTACATTCAGGATGACATTTCCAAGCAGCCAGCACTGGAAAGTTGAACATTTTAGTATTTAAATCGCCAACACTTTTGCAGATTGAAGCCTAGAAACATAGTGTTGGACTTTTTGACATTGCTCTGTGCCTGGGCAGCAATACACAGTGGTGCCCACAGTGCATTCTTAATTACGGTTTAACTTTACAATGGACACTGACAGGCAAAAATATGCTATTTTATGTAATTAGTGATTGTTGGGAGTCTTGTTTTTATTTTGTTTATTACAGATCCCCTTTAACAGGTGTTATTCTAATCATTTTCAGCTTTATATTTTATAGTTCCTGATTCTTAAATTCTAATTCAATGTAGTAACCCATAGCAGCCACTCAGAACTAATCTTGTACTGATCTGATTTCACCCAAGGGAATTATATGTTGTTTTGTTGTTAAGAATACAATTTAATATTAACAACTCTGCATTGAAGCTGATTTAGTTAAGTAGTACTTTTTACTCCAGCCTGTGCTTAGTTAAATCCCCAGTTCATTTCAGAGGAATATTCTATATATTACCTTGAAGCTGCCTGGATATTTGACATGAACAAAGGCTAAAATGATTTCTTTTGTAAACCATCCCCTCTACTAGTGTACATTGATATGAGCTGTTACTTAGTATTACTTAGTCTGGAGAACTGGACATTTATATTGCAAATGTAATTAAAAAAAACACAACCAAAACCTGTAGGTTAATATTGCCTACTACATGCAGCCAATAATGTATGTTATGGGCACATGAAAGAGTATAACATTTACCAAGGGTGTGCCTTCATATTTGCATTAATTTTTCCACACAGTCTAAGGACATATTAGTTGTTTAATTAGATCATGTGCCACCCATAATGCAAATGTGTGACCAGTTATGGGCAATTTGTTGCAAATGTAGTTCAGCGACATTAACTGAGCAATTGTTTAACACATGATCTCAGCATTTTGATTTTCAGAACCAAATGACTAGAACTGTATAGAATACCCATGGCTTTAGCATAGACCATTGCTAAAGCTTAACTGATGAAAAGGCTGTCAGCGTGGACTACTGTACCCCTGTGATAAGATAATATGATAAGAATAGAGCAGCAGGTGCCTGCAGTACATAAGCATATATAATCATACCCAATCATAAGATGCATGCAAGAAGTGGAGAAAAAAAAAACATTATTATGGGAGGAAGGGATTAGGGGGGTGGAAATGGGGTTAAAGTGGATGTATATGTTGTGACAAATGTTATATAGCTGTTTTATGTATTGTAATAACATTTAATAAAAGATATAATAAATAAAACACTATTACTAGTTAATTGTCTACAAATAGTTTTTAAGTCCATCTCTGATGTGAATCCTTAGTAGAACACTACATAATAGGTTACTCCACTATAATGTGTAACAATGAAAATAATATTAATACCAACTAATAAAGCTAAGCATTATTGTTTGAACTCTTGAATGAGCAGCACTTGTTTGCCTGACTTATATTACATTTTAATTAATTTTATGCACACCATGGCTGTCACCTGTTTCAGTTGTACTTTTCTTCTCCTCTAGGTTCATTGCTAGTATTATTCATCAAGACAGCATGCAAAGCATTATAGATTTAATCCGTCTTAGCGGACAGCTTAGCTCTTCAAAACTCACTGAGGTCTCCTCTGCCATAAAAATGAATGTTCTGCATTTCTGTGCATGTTTGAAACCAGAGCACTAAGTATTCGTCCAAGACAGACATAACAAATGTCTCTTACTGGCTGTAAACTGTTTTGTCAATCAGTCAAACTCATTTCAGCAGTATCCAAATTTGTTCCATTCAAATATATCAAATGCTGTTGGAACTCATGACCTCTTAGTAGAAACACCTATTTAAAATATGTAAGGATTATTATCATATAGGAGGAATAGTACTGTTAAAATTCATTTAACTGCTAAAAATCAGACTTTAACTGCCATGAAAAGAAATGGCCTAGAAACCAAAAACTGTAGATACTGGAGAGGCTCCTATCTCAGCTGCGCCCCCTGCAGCACGATGCCTAAGACGGATGCCTCTTCTGCCCCTGCCTTGACCCTGGATATACCATTCTCTTCAATTATGATATAAAATATCTGCCTAAACATATACTTCCTAAGTAACCTGTAGCAGGGGCGGACTGACAACTCATGGGGCCCCCGGGCAATAGGGGATCATGGGGCCCCTGTGTCCTTGCCCAAACTCAAAAAAGCCTATGAAAAAGGTACCAGAGGCATCTCATGGGGCCCCCTACTGACCCCGGGCCCTCGGGCAGTGCCCGAGTTTCCAAATGGTCAGTCTGCCCCTGACCTGTAGTAATTTTTTTACCTCATAAGCACATATTCAAAACTGTAAGCATTAAAATGCTTTGCTACTCCAAAGACATGCCGGTAGGTTAATTGGCTCCTGTCTAAATTGGCTCTAGTATGTGTATGCATGAATGTGAGTTAGGGACCTTAGATTGTACGCCCCTTAAGGGTTAGGGACTGATGTGAATGTACAATATATGTGTAAAGCGCTGCGTAAATTGACAGCACTATATAAGTACCTGAAATAAAAATAAATAAATAAATAAATACCGAATAATTTTATTACACATGTTTGTCATGTATGGAATACAGCTTAAGATAGTTTGGAGTTGATTTACTAAAGGCAAACAGACTGTTCACTTTGATAGAGAAAGTTGCACTTTGCAGGGGAATGTTTCCCAGAGCTTAGTAAATGTAGTTAAATTTCACTTAGTAAATAATATCCCATCTTATGCAAGGAAATATAAAAAAATGATGACGGGAGACAGTAGAGCTTCACCTCTTTTACTAAGCTCCAGGGAAAATTCCCTTGCAAAGTGCAACTTCCCTTGGAAAGTAATTAGTAAATGGTCTTTTTGCCTTTAGTGAGTCAATCCCATTACATATGTATAATGCATGTACACCTGTAATATAAATACATGCATCAAGGTCCACTAAGAACTTATTCAGATAGCTGGACCTCATTATTCAAAATGCAAACTTTATAGCACAAAGATACAAGGTAAAAATAAACATGATCATGGTCTTAAAGATTTTTACTGGCTTAAACATATTCTTCTACATATGTAGTCCTCTTCCCTCTATATGTTTAAATGATTGTTGTATATTCATACACTAAATATAACAAAGGATGTATTCCAATAATATACTATGAAAGGTACTATTTTTGTAGCAAGGATGACACATATCTTTAAACCCACTATCACTTTTTCTGACATCAACATACAAATTTAGAGAGTTAAAGTGAGTTGTTGTTTCTTATAAAATATTATCAAATCATTTTCAGAATGTTCACATTGTATAACCCGACAGCTGACCCTTGGCACAAATTGTTCTGCTCCACTCACCATTGCAGTAATACTAACTTGAATGCTTAAAGGGACAGCTTTATTTATGAAGATAACTGTATGCAGCTAATGCATGTAATGATCATATTCAGCAGATTATTTTATTTTTTTAAATTTTGCATCATTATGCATTGAAAGTTTTCTGCTCATGTAAATGACATGGTTAAGACAAACTATAACCCTGCTATAGGGCACTTTAACAGTTACTGTAACTTGATTTTTTTTTTTTTTTACATGTACACCATATGAATAGAAGGTGAGCATTATTGGCTGTGTTGTGATCATGTTTGTCCTGGCCCCTGTCTTTTGCTGGACAGATTAGCCTGGAACATAAATATGGCATAGTCTACAAATATAGACATGCAAAATTCAAAAAAGGAATCTGTTGAATGATATGGTAGGTTAATTGGCTGCTATCTAAATTGGTCCTACTATGTGTATATATGCATGCAAGATAGGGACCTTAGATTGTAAGCTCCTTGAGGGCAGGCACTGATGTGAATGTACAATATGTAAAGTGCTATCTAAATTACCAGAGCTATATATATATATATACCTGTAATAATAAATATCAATACATATTAACTGCCTACAGTTATCAGGATACAGTACATTTTTAGATTGGCTATCTATAAAAGATAAAATGATCTCATGTGTTCATTTAATAGGTTAAAGCACAAGGCACAGGGACATTCCAATAATCCAGGCACAGTGATGCTGCACTCACCCCTCCATGAGCTGGCACCCCTGCTAGTCTTGGCAGCAGCACTGCTTGGGGAATAACTGCTGGGCTGGCTGAGAGCTCTGCTGAAGTGCTCATCCACCACTGAGCTGATATCTCCCTGGAAATAGGTGAACAGGACACATCTGGAGCTAATGTATTCAGCTTCTGGAGGGCTCTCCTTCTCTGGGCTGCAGTCCTCTTCTTTAATATTGGCTGGGGTATGGCTGGAGAAAGAGCTGCCACTGCTGCCACTGCTACCATTGCTGTTGCTGCCACTCTCTGGGGCTTCCTGCATCTTGGAGTAAAAGGCTAGTTTCTGTGTAATATAAACAGACAACAACCATCAGGCAAGTTTTAATTCCTGAAGCAACAGCACAGATGAGAAAGAAAGTAATAGAGAGATGTGCATTATGTACTGAGTGAGGTTAGACAATCCCTGTCCCATCAGCCACACATGTAGAATGACTCTGTACAACAACATATCTCCTATGCTGAGAGCTATGACAGCCAGGCACACTTGTTATTGTCCATCTCCCATGGAACAACAAATGTTCACATCCAATAGTCATTTCCCTAGTCCTTCATCAGCTCTGCGAACCCAATGCCAAGACTTGTTTGTCGCACTAGTGTCTGCGGCTCTATAGCTCCTTATACTGAGTAAGTCATTGACATTCTTGGCAGCAAGGGGTTAATATCAAATGGAAGCGAACCAGTAGCTACACATTCCATTAAAGGGGTTACTGACCATTTCACAGGTATATAAACCAATAGCTAGAGACCCCTGGTAGCAAAGGGGTTAATATCATATAATGTTACTATCAGATTATCATAAACGTTTATACATTTTCTTGACAGCTAATGAGTTTATTTATTGTCACATTGGGTCCATTATTGGCCAGAAATGGTTAATATGTTTTGTTATCACATTATCATAAACGAATATATAAACCTCCTTGAAAGCCAATGAGTTTATTTATTCTCACATTGGGTCCATTATTGGCAACATAAATGGTTAATGATTTAATTAGATCATCATAAACGAATATATAAACCTCCTTGAAAGCCAATGTGTTTATTTATTCTCACATTGGGTCCATTATTGGCAAAATAAATGGTTAATGATTTAATTAGATCATCATAAACTAATATATAAACCTCCTTGACAGCCAATGAGTTTATTTATTGTCACATTGGGTACATTATTGGCAAATAAAATGGTTAGTGATTTAAGCAGATTATCATAAACAAATATATAAACCTCCTTGACAGCAAATGAGATACGAAAAAAAATATACCATTAGGTAAACTAGACATTATTGGCAGAAAATCGGTTAATATCAAACTTATATTGATATAAGGAATGTGTAGATTTATTAACAACATAGGATTAATGCAACAAGATCGAATCTCTGGGCAGCAAGCAATGGATATTATCAAGTAAAGCAAGCGAATATATATCTATTTGTCTGTCTATGGTCTTATCGATTTGATTCAGTTCTTTTTTTATCAATTATCATATCTTCTTAATAATCTGCATACTCAGCTGAATGTATAATTTTCCCAGTCCAGATTCATTATACAAAATACATAATCAGCTGAAGAATAGAAACTAGAGGCGGAATTGCAGGTTACACAGCTCCAGAAGTTTACTTGATAAAAAGTAATGCTCCAAAGCACCCTATAAAAATACAGAGTGGTGCAGAGAGAGGACGCATGTTATAATGTACAAGAGGTGTGCAGACTAGTCAGGCTACAAAGTACAGAAGAGAAATCAGACTATATGGTACAGAAGATGCCCGGTACAAAAAAGTATAGTAGTGTACAGACAAGTCATGCTATACAGTACATAAGAGTGCAAAGAAATGAGACTAGAGTACAGACAAGTCACACTATAGTGCAGAGGAATGACACAAACATTAGATATAATACAGAATATAATATAGACAGGAGATACTCTATAGTACAGAAGAGTGTATAGAAATAGGACTATACAGACAAGTCCCACTATATAGTATAGAGAAGTGCATGGAAATAACATAATATAGTATAGACAGGCAATGCAATATTTTACAGACGAGTGCAGAGAAACAGGACTATATAGTACAGACAAGTCCCACAATATGTATAGGGATGTGCACAGAAATAAGTCTATATAGTACAGACAAGTCCCACTATATAGTATAGGGATGTGCACAGAAAGAAGTCTATATAGTACAAACAAGTCCCACTATATAGTATAGGGATGTGCACAGAAAGAGGTCTATATAGTAGAGACAAGTCCCACTATATAGTATAGGGATGTGCACAGAAAGAAGTCTATATAGTACAGACAAGTCCCACTATATAGTATAGGGATGTGCACAGAAAGAAGTCTATATAGTACAAACAAGTCCCACTATATAGTATAGGGATGTGCACAGAAAGAGGTCTATATAGTAGAGACAAGTCCCACTATATAGTATAGGGATGTGCACAGAAAGAGGTCTATATAGTACAGACAAGTCCCACCATAAAGTATAGAGAGGCGCACAGAAAGAAGACTATATAGTACAGACAAGTCATACTATATATTGCAAAGGATGCGTGTAAGGTTGTAAAGGACAGATGAGTGCAGAGAAGCCCTACTATAAAGTATACAGAGAATAGAGAAGGACGGTTACATATCACACCAAAGTCACCCTATAGAGAATGGTAGAGTGCAGATAAGGCAGGCTGTACAGTATAACAGTACTCCAAACTCACACTATAAAGTATGGAAGGGTGCAGCGAAGTGCAGTTATATAGTACTCCAAACTCACACTATAAAGTATGGAAGAGTTTAGCGAAGTGCAGTTATATAGTATTCCAAACTCACACTATAAAGTATGGAAGAGTGCACAGAAGTATATAATTATATAGTACTCCAAACTCACACTATAAAGTATGGAAGAGTTTAGCGAAGTGCAGTTTATATATTATTTCAAACTCACACTGTAAAGTATGGAAACGTGCACAGAAGTACAGTTATATAGTCCAAACTCACACTATAAAGTATGGAAGAGTTCAGCGAAGTGCAGTTATATAGTACTCCAAACTCACACTATAAAGTATGGAAGAGTGCACAGAAGTTCAGTTATATAGTATTCCAAAGTCACACTATAAAGTACAGAAAAAACGCAGTGAGGTCGGGCTATATAGGACAGAAAAACAACACTATATAGTACATAAGAGTACAGAGAAGTCATCATACTATAAAGAAAAGGAGAGTACACACAATTTAAGCTGTAAAGTGTCGAAGAGTGCAGAAAAGTCATGATACTCTAAAATACAGCTGAGTGTAGATAATTCATACAAAAGAGCGATCGTGCAATAAAGTGTGACCATGCTACAGAAAAGTGCAGAGAATGCATGCAGAATAGTGCAGAGAAGCGGTCATAGTATATAGCACAGACGACTGCGGAGAATTCATAAAGAAGAATTCAGAGAAGTGATCATATGTAGTACAGAAGATTGCAGAAAATTCACACAGAAAAGTGCAAAGAGGTTATCACACTACATAGCACAGGAAAATGCAGAAAATGTATGCAGAGAAGTACAGAGAGGTGATCATATAGTACAGAAGAGTGCAGAGAGGTGCTCATCACACTGTATAGTACAGAAGAGTGCAGAGAATTCATAAAGAAGAGCGCAGAGAAGTGATTCAACTATACAGTGGGATCATATTAGTACAAAAAAGTGCATAGAAGTGATTATACGATACAGTGGGTCCATAGTATATAATACTTAAAAGTGCAGAGAATTCATAAAGAAGAGAGCGGAGAGATGATCATACTACACTGGATCCATACTATATAATACAGAAAAGTGCAGAGAATTCATAAAGAAAAGTGCAGAGAGGTGATCATACTATACACTGGATCCATACTATATAATACAGAAAAGTGCAGATAATTCATAAAGAAGAGTGCAGAGAGGTGATCATATTATACACTGGATCCATACTTTATAATGCAGAAAAGTGCAGAGAATTCATAAAGAAGACTGCGGAGAGGTGATCATACTATACACTGGATCCATACTATAAAATACAGAAAAGTGCAGAGAATTCATAAAGAAGACAGCAGAGAGGTGATCATACTATACACTGGATCCATACTATATAATGCAGAAAAATGCAGAGAATTCATAAAGAAGACTGCAGAGAGGTGATCATACTATACACTGGATCCATACTATATAATGCAGAAGAGTGCAGAGAATTGATAAAGAGGAGTGCAGAGAAGTGATCATACTATACACTGGATCCATACTATATAATGCAGAAGAGTGCAGAGAATTGATCATACTATACACTGGATCCATACTATATAATGCAGAAGAGTGCAGAGAATTGATAAAGAGGAGTGCAGAAAAGTGATCATACTATACACTGGATCCATACTATATAATGCAGAAGAGTGCAGAGAACTGATAAAGAGGAGTGCAGAGAGAAGTGATCATACTATACACTGGATCCATACTATATAATGCAGAAGAGTGCAGAGAATTTGATCATGACTATACACTGGATCCATACTATATAATGCAGAAGAGTGCAGAGAATTGATAAAGAGGAGTGCAGAAAAGTGATCCTACTATACACTGGATCCATACTATATAATGCAGAAGAGTGCAGAGAATTGATAAAGAGAGTGCAGAGAAGTGATCATACTATACACTGGATCCATACTATATATAAGGCAGAAGAGTGCAGAGAATTGATCATACTATACACTGGATCCATACTATATAATGCAGAAGAGTGCAGAGAATTGATAAAGAGGAGTGCAGAAAAGTGATCCTACTATACACTGGATCCATACTATATAATGCAGAAGAGTGCAGAGAATTGATCATACTATACACTGGATCCATACTATATAATGCAGAAGAGTGCAGAGAATTGATAAAGAGGAGTGCAGAAAAGTGATCCTACTATACACTGGATCCATACTATATAATGCAGAAGAGTGCAGAGAATTGATCATACTATACACTGGATCCCATATGCTATGATAAAATGCAGAAGAGATCCATACTATATAATGCAGAGAATTGATATAAGAGGAGTGCAGAGAGAATTGATCATACTATACACTGGATCCATACTATATAATGCAGAAGAGTGCAGAGAATTGATAAAGAGGAGTGCAGAGAAGTGATCATACTATACACTGGATCCATACTATATAATACAGAGAGAGTGCAGAGAATTGATAAAGAGGAGTGCAGAGAAGTGATCATACTATACACTGGATCCATACTATATAATGCAGAAGAGTGCAGACAATTGATAAAGAGAAGTGCAGAAAAGTGATCCTACTATACAGTACACAAGAGATGTCCCGCCTGGAAGTGCATTAGACACCCTTAGCAGCCAGTGATGGGAAACTGGTGAGCGATTGGTTTCGCCCAGGGAGGAAACAATGGGAGATTGCA